TTTTTTTTGCAAAAAAAAAACAATTCTCATCAATCATCATAAAGTATTCTCATATTTTTAGAATTTCATTGAATATTCAATAAAAAAACCGAAATACTATAAGAAGAAATTTGATTAAAAAATATTTAAACTACATGTAAAATAAAGTCATAATTTAGATGATTAAATAGTATTGATATTTTTTTGCAATTTTGATCAATAGATCATTATAACGTTTTATAAGAAGAAAAGAAAAGTACTCATACATGTGACTATAAGAAAAAACTTATTCTTTAGTATACAAAAACTAAATACAACGTAGATTGTTAGAATTCATATTCTTTTTCCATCAAGATATCAAAACTCTTGTTTTTATGATATAATATAGAAAAATAAGATTCATATGATAATAATCAAAATGGATGAACTAAGAAATGAATATAATGATATTTCTCACGAATTGTATCAATTACTGATAGATGTTGAAGCATTAAATACGATAAGGAAAAAAGAATATTGTCTCACTATTACTAGTACACATATCTTTGCTTGCTTCTCTCGTTGATCTTAAAATTTCAACCAATGTTGTTCACTAAGCAAATCTCTTATTTTTGTCTACGCAACTATGATTGACAGTAGTATTAAAAAATGATTGATTTATTTATATCTATACTTGCTGCAGAAATGTATTCAATGACCTTTAATCTCGGTTTCTAAAGTCTATAATGTGGAGGGGAGAGAGAGAGGAGTCGCAAAATTTCGACTCACTATTTTCTTTGAAAATATACATGAGTTTTACAAAATATAAAAGTCTTTTAAATGAGTATATTTTTCACTAATTAAACATTGAAATATTTTTCTTTTTGCTTCATTAAATTTCAATTAGTGAATAAATAGATCAGCAGGTTTTTTTTTAATGAGAAGAAATCTCTCTATAAATCTCGTCATATATTTTACTAATAACCGAATGGCTTAGACCAAGATTGTCATTTTAAAACAATAGTTCTCTCTAGATACAATTGAAATATATGATATACCATTCAACATGTCTACAGGTAACACACTTACTCATTTTCGATCTTAGCATTGTCATAGCTTAGCAACTTAATATGATAAAGAACTGAAACTTACATTGCAGAAAGATATATGAAAATTCTAGTTTCACTATAATTTTTATTTTCATTTGTTTGAACTTTGATGAGTTTACAAGGATAGAAAATCGTAATAATGTATTCATACAAAAGAATACCTTTTATTAAAACTATTCAAAGAAAGTTCACATTTCTGAAAATTTTCTCTTGTTCTAAACAAAATATTTTCAATTGTGTTTGTAGCTAAGACAATACATCACATGATGGCGAAATTTGTTCCTGACAGATTCAACAACAAAATAAAATAACTCATTCATGTGGTTCAACTCTTCGATAATATCACTTTTTATCATTTACAATGATTTATTCGTATTCGAAATATGATAAAAGACGATAAGACCCATTTTTTCTACCAAAAATGATTGATTATAATTGATAATTACCATTCACATTCACTATTATTCAGAATAGATGATATCTATCGATGTAGACTATATAAAAACCTAGAAAAAAAATATTTCGCATAAGTTCGATCGTTCTGTGCTCGAGAAATCTTTTGTTTAACTTTAATCAGACATAGTCTTTTTTCAGTTGCACAAGTTATATTAATTCTTTAGTTATCAATAAAAAATACACATACGTAAAATAGAGTGATTTTACACGATGTACATTTTCTTTTCTTAACGCAAGAATCTAACATGAACCGTTACAAAAGAATAATAATAATGTTGAAAGCTTTTGCTGTGTCGCAAATGTATCGAACAAAAAAAAATGAATACATTAGTCGCAATTGATGATAAAGCTCATGATGTAAATAATATATTGCTGGTTATCAAAAGGTTGATAGATAAATTCAATGAACTCGATCGTACATTGAATAAATTGAACGACATAGACATCCTTGTACTTATCGAAACACATTAAAATCAATTGAATGAATATGTCATTCAATATTTTGGATATGATCTATTTCGTGTTCTCTATTTGTTCTTTATTTCGTTTTACTAAAAGAATTTTGTTTGTATATTCTGTTCTTTTTTATTATTTTATTTTATTTTTTCAACGGCAAACATCCAGCATAGAACAAAAACAACAACAACAAAAAAACATCATATTTTGTTTGATAGAGTTTTTTGTTTTTTATTTCTATTTTTGTTTCATATGATGTTAAAATACTGTTGATATCTAATTAGTTTTGCCGGCGAGCCGTCGATCACGTTCTTCTGCAACACTTAAACGTAAACCTTTGCCAGCTGGTAGTGAGACCCAAGATTTTTGACCTTTACCAATAACAAATACATAAGCCAAACTAAACAAACAAACAAACAAAACAAAAATTTCATATAAAACAAAAAAAAAAAGGTTAATTTTTACCGAGTAGCAAATGTATGTCCATTGGCATCTTTAACATGAACAATATCAAATGAACCTGGATGACGTTCACGTGATTGAATAACACCAACACGACCTAAGTTGTGTCCACCAGTAATCATAACAATGTTACCTAAATAAGAAAGACAAAAAAAGAAATTTTTTCACATAAAACAAAAAGAATTTTTTTTTCTGTGTAAGAAAATACCTGTATCAAATTTAATATGTTCTTGAATTTTTCCTGTAGCAATATCAATTTGTACAGTATCATTAGCTTTAATATGTGGATCCGGATAACGAATTGTTCGTGCATCATGTGTTATCAAATATGGTACTTTCTTTGGACCCATACACATTGATTTAACTTTACATAATTTATACTAAATAAATATATATATATATATATAGTTTTAAACTTTCAGTTTATCTTTTATATACTAAAAAAATGAATGAATATAAAATGTTTTTGAGGCATGTAAAAATATATTCGCGATAGTTTGGTTTTTTTTCAGATATGCACAAAAATAATAGAAAATCATTTCCATTCAACTAGAGATAGAATTTATCAGACTAAAATATTAAATTAAATCTTAATAGTCAATACGATATTTTAAAATATCTTACAATAGAAAATTCTATATATTCAAATATTTGATTCAGATTAGACTATGACTTAAAATTTTTTTTGTCATGATTGGATAGAGCTTGTCGAAATACTGACATATTTAAACATTGTTTTTGTAATAAAAATTCAACTAAAATAAAATCAGAAAAACTTATAAAAATTTGAAACACGTCAAAAGCATCAAATCTCGATAGTTTCAATGTTTATTCGAATTTTGTTTTTATTTGGTTGTTGAGAAAATCGATTTTTTCGATATGACAGCAAAACACGATAAATACGAATTTCTATTCTAAGATTTTCACCTCAGAACGTCAGTTTCAAAAGAAACTAATATCATATTCAGAATTAGCATAAAAATCTGCATCGAATAATCACACTCATTTTTCGTTAAATTTTGACTTGAAGGAGAAGCGCAGGTCAAAGCATTCGAAAATAACAGTGAGGATGTGTACAGACCAAAATTTGACAGAAAATGAGTATGATTATTCTCTGCAGATTTTTATACTGATTCTAAATATGATATTGGTTTCTTTTGGAACTGAAGTTCTGAGTATCAAATGTTTAGAATACAAATTCATATTTGTCGTATTTTACTGTCATATTGAAAAAAAATTGATTTTCTCATCAACTAAATAAAAATAAAATTCAAATAAACATTGAGACTATCGAAACTTGATACTTTTGGTGTATTTTAATTTTTATAAGCTTTTCTAATTTTATTTTAGTCTAATTTTCACTACAAAAAACATCGTCTAAATACTTCAAAAACAACATTCCTATAAGTAATTTGATGAGCTCTGTCCAACCATGACAATAATATCGTTTTAATAAATTTCCAAAAATGTCATTTATTTTTATTCTCATAATTTCTCTAATTATACTTTCATTCTAAAATTCAATACATTCTCTATAATCCATAGTAAATTTCAAGACTATTACACAAAATATCTGTGTCACGAAATAGTATCGTTATTATATTCAATACTTACTTTCGCTTCTTCAGGTGTTATACGATGAACACAAAATCGACCTTTAACATCATAAATCAAACGAAAATGTTCGCCTGTTTTTTCAATAGTAATAACATCTATTCAAAAACAAAAAAAGAAAAAGAACATAATCTTTATCTTGAAAATAAATATTCGGTTTTTTTTTTTTTGTAAATATAACAAACCCATAAAACCAGCAGGAAAAAGAAAATCTGTTCGTACACGTCCATCAATTTGAATAAGACGTTGTTTACAAATTTTTCTAGCTTCATTATATGTTAATGCATATTTCAATCGATTACGTAGAAAAATAATCAATGGTAAACATTCACGTGTTTTATGTGGACCAGATGATGGTTTTGGTGCAAAAACGCCACCCAATTTATCAAGCATCCAATGTTTAGGTGCATGAAGTCGTTTCAAATGTTTACGAATACCACGATACTAATATATATATATATATAAAGATTTTTTTCTTTTAGAAATTAATTAAATAATTAATCTTACGCCCATGTTTTTTTCTTATAGTTGTTAATAATGATCAAGATCTTACTTACGATCTGAAAAAAAATTCAAAGCAAAGTAAAACCATGAAAAATCAGTATTTTATGTAAAAATTCCAATAGAATATCTAAACCAATCAATGATTGTTTAATTCAACTAAATATTGTCTGATTAATTGTACTGGTTTTTTTTTCTTATATTATTAAATAAAATTATTTTATTAAAAAAATTCAAGTAAAGAAATAATAAATTTCATTATAATTAATTAATATCAAATTTTTTTGATTCTTTTGAAATGTATAAATGTGTTATATAGGTTAATGTAGAGGTTAAAATGAATAAAAAGTCAATATGGTTATTTTGTTCTTTCCTTTCACTTTCTTTCGAATTGATTTTGATTAAATGTACATATACATATATACATATATATATATTAAATAAATGTCTGGAAATAGTAAGTTAACTGAATTTTGAACGTTTCATCTATCGTTATATTTATTTTCTAGTTGAACTTGATCTTATTTATGAAGAAAGTGATGCAGATGAATTTTCAACATCATCAAGTATGTGTATCATATCATAAAATTCAATATAAATCAATAGAATAACTAATAAATACTATAATTAAATTTATTTCTTATTGTTAGTCTATTTATATCAAAGATTTTTAAGGAATAACCAAACGTATTAAAACTTATTGTAATGAGTAATTTTTATGAATTGTTCAACATAACAAAAAATTTGACAATAATAAATTTTTGTTTTTCAACATGGAAGTTTTTACTCCTCCCGAATAGAAAAACAGATAATGCATAGGAGAGCCTTTTTTTTTGATTCATTAGAGCTATAGCAACATGCGATCGTTCATTTCGTTTCTAAGATGTCCATTACTAACGCGATGTTTGTTAATATGTATAGTTCGTTATGTAATCAGAGTTGTACTTTGATGAAGCGAGCGACGCAAACAGTGTACATATATTAATATTCTCAAAATCATAACTCAATATGAATACGAGAATATCTTTTTTTTTTTAAACATGATAATGATGTTATGAAATTTTGAATTATATTCTTTCTTTATTCGATAATATTCGATCTATTGTAGAAGTTGAAACTATAATGAAATTGTTTCATTATTAAAGTAAAATATGTCAAGAAAAAATCGATTTGCTATTGAATTACATTCGAACTTGTTGCTATAGAAATCCTATTGAAATATTCAATTGATATTGATAAGTATATCAATCATAAAATACAAAAAATTCAAAAAGTTTAATTATTATTTAATTAATAATTATAAAAGATTCTTAAAAAAAAAAAGAAGATTCTAATGTAATCGTATTTTTCGAATAAATATATTTGATAATAGAACAATGATTTTCACTCTAACTTTTAGAATCCAAACATACTCGAAATGTATCCATTGAAGAAGATCAAGTAAGACTGAAAGAAAAGAAAAAAAAATGCTTACATAATCACCTACGTAACATATTCATTTTTTTTTTCCTATTAGTTACTTGCAAATGATAATGATGATGATGAAATAGCAATAATAGAACCAGCAAATTCTAAAACATCAAATGAAAATCTAATAAATCAAACAACAATTGAAAATGATGATTCAGATATGATTGAAACTATTTTAAGTGATGATACAAAAGACAATTCTAATTATAATGGTAAACGTCGAAAAACTGAAAGTATTTCTTCCTCTTCATCTTCGATCAGTGTATCAAACACTAGTAGCAGCAGCAGCAGCAACAGTTCCAATCGTCAGTCTGTACACGGTAGTTGTTCGGTAGCATAGATAATAGAATATTTATTCATTAATACTAATAGCAAAACTTATTTTGTTTTTATTTATAAACAAAACCAAAAAATACCGATAGCCTATGAATTTTTTTTTCTTTTGATAAATAGATTTGAATGAAGAAACGATTGAAAATGAATCAAATTGTATTGAAATGGAACTGTCAAATGATAGAATAAAACAAGTTAATGGTTCTAATGGAAATGAACAACGTAAACCAGTAAATGTACCAACATTAGTAATAACAGTGAAAAATGAAATGGCTCAACCAATTCGTGAACAAGCAATTCCAACAACTGGTAACATAAAAACAATCTAATAAGAATTTTTCACAAATGAAGAGAAAAAACTAAGAGGAGTTTGTTTTTTGAATTGAGTAGACAATTATAAAATTCTATTCATCAAATGAATTTTTGTTTCGTTGAATATACTTTTTCATTAGAATACAAGAAAATCATAGCAAAAATTAATTAACATTTACTTAATCCTTTGACTATCACCGACACATGTATATATGTCATGAACTTTATCAGTATCTAAAACTAATACAATCAATCGTAATGTATATTTTTTAGACTCGTTTTGTATAGAAATAAGTATTAGGCAATTAATACTTGTGATATCATTATTTCATAATAGTGTGTTCGAGAGTCGTACCTTAAAAACAAAAGAAGTGTACATAGGAGGCAGTCAGTTTGTTGCACATATGCATATCTTTTGTTTTCTTTCTTCTTATTCGAGAACTCTATTGTAAAGTATGGCTTCTAGAGAGGTCATATATTGGCAGATCATTCAGTGCTCATTCATTGTGATTGATGACTAGACTCTCCTTGAAGAGGATATTATGTTTGTGACAATACTAAATAATGTGCAAAGAAACAAGGCGATACACACTATCAGTGTCAGTGTGCTGAATGTGATGTTGGAGGACTATGCATTACCGACTGTTTCAAAAAATTTCCATATCTTACAGAAGGTGTAACGTTATCTCGTATAATCAAAAATGAATAGCTATAATGATCTTCTACAGAGATAGTTTTTCTGCTTATGTCGGTAGTCAAATGATTAAGAAAAATGTATTGATTTCCTTTGATTGTTGATACAGTTAATTGAATAATATGTTTAGTAAGATGTGATGAAATAAAATTTCAACTACACGCTGGATTTAGCAGTAAGAGTATAAAAGTGGGAAGAGTTTGTTTTTTATATCTTCTGATGAACTTTTAGTCATCTCAATTGATAATAGAATTTATTGTCTAATTATTTTAGATTCTACAGAAACTGCTACACTTCGGCATATATTCAGTGATGCTGCTTATTTTTTAATTAAAAGTAGTAATGAAGAAAATATTTCATTGGCTAAAACTAAAGTAAACTTTAGATTTATATATGTTTGTATGTGATATTTATTTTAATTAATTATTAAGGGTTTATGGTCAACACCACCAGCAAATGAAACTAGGCTAAATCGAGCTTTTCGAGTAAATATTTATATATAAAGAGAAAATATTTCTTATTTTTATTTTTATTTTTAGGATCATCGAAATGTAATTTTAATTTTTTCTGTAGCTGAAAGTAAAGCATTTCAAGGTTTTGCTCGTATGTCATGTGAAGCTCGTCATGATAGTCAACCTGTTAATTGGATTTTACCACCTGGCATGAATAATCGTACTTTTTCAGGTGTTATTTATATTGATTGGATAACTTGGTATGTAATTATCTATTAATTTTATTTTAAAATATATATTTTATCTATTTGAAATTTTATTTAACATATATTTTTATTTTTAGTCGAAGTTTACCATTTAGTAAAACATCACATTTGTTCAATTCATGGAATGAGAACAAACCGGTCAAAATAGGACGGGATGGTCAGGTAGTAGAATTAGATTATACTAATGAGGGAAATATTTTTCAATTGAAAAATCACTTTTGAGTCGAGATTATATGTATTATGTAGATCTAAATGAGTTATGAATACCGTCAGGAGAGTTCGTGTCCTTAGCTTATCAATGCACTTTTACGGTGTTTTTTAAATGAACGCTGTGGTTTCTCTAAAGAACATCAGAAAAAAGTGATTTTTGAATTTCGATTTGGAACTTCGCATAGAGACAAACCTTAACGAGAATAGTTTATTATGAAAGTTTTAGATCTTCCTGGTGTTCCTATCGGACGATACGTCTATGATGAAAGCATGTTTTTTACATCGCTCATAAACACTAGCAGATTTTACCCCTCTTTTTGGCCATTCTCGGTTTTCGAAGCGAGTACAACGAATCCACATGAAATTCTTATCATAGATAGAGCACCTCAATTAAGGAAACACATGTCTGAGAAAGAAGAAATTCAAGCAAGATTTTTGCAATTTTGTTTTCGAAAACCCCATAGTTTTCATAGGACCGCTTACGATACCCGTCTACCTCTATCTGATTGAACTGAAAATTTTTTAGAGATACCGTAGACGATATCTCACGGTGATGTTAAGGTTTTTCAAATCTGGATAGGAAAGTCAAAAATGAAAACGATTGATTTCATCTCTGGTGAATACTTTCAAGCATTTATGGTCCAAATTTCAATCAGATCGGAGAATGTTAGACGGGAATCGTAAGCGGATCTATGAAAACCGGGATTTTCTCCGAAAAACTACGAAAAACTTGTTTAAAATTTTTTTTTCCCCCGAACATGTCTTCTTATTTTCGGTGCTCTATCTGTGTTAAAGATTTCATACGTATGCGTTGTACCTTCTCTGAGAATCAGATAGGACAAAAAAAAGAGTGCGCGACACACCTTAAGGCCTGTCTCTATGAAAAGTTTAAGGGTATTCATAGTTCGTTTGAATCTACATAGTGTACATAGTCTCGACTGAAAAACAATTTATCAATTGAAGAACTTTCCTCGTAATATTTATTTTTATATTTTAAGGAAGTTGAACCACGTTGTGCTGAAGCATTGTGTCGTTTATTTCCATCTGATCCAACGATTGATATAATGTCAATAGCAATGAAAGCTAAAAATAATAAAAAACGTCAGTCATCTCGATCGGAATCACGTTCACCATTATCGACAAATCTTTCTTCATCATTACCATTGGAAACTTCATCATCATCATCATTAATAATTAAACGTCAAATATCAAAAGATCATACTCGTCATACATTACCAAATAATAATAATAAACATCGACCAACATCATCAGATTTTTCATCTCGTCATTTAGCACATCATAATCATCATCGATCACCTTCAAATCATATTCGTCATAGGTCAGACGTGACTCTTTATTTAATAATTATTCGTCTTACGAATTTGGCTATCATATTCTTTACTAATCTTATTCAGTACAGAACTTTTAAAAAAGGTGTTGGTTGATAGAGGTATCCTTTCTTTTTTCCGAACATCATTGGCCACATATATATATAGATGTATATATATATATGTATATCTAACATTCAAATATTACGATGGGTCTATACAATATGAAGCCGGCTTTATGAACTTTGAAAAAAAAAAGGCTGAAAACAAAGCATTTTACATATCTATTCATCGAAGAACTTTTATGATTATTTTAAAAAGAACTATGTCTGTTTAACAGACTATTATATATACATATATTGTTATTTTTTATAAGCAAAAAAAAATAACAACAAAATACTACTGTCACCTGCTCCGAGCCCATGTTATTAACAAAAAAAAAATTTACTCCTTTTTTACCTTGAGAATTAGATTAGATGATGGTATGAAAAAGGAGAAAATGAGTTTTCTTATACGCATGTACAGACAAAAAACATTCAAACGAGATAAATCATAGAAAACAAAAGAGATTAATTTGTTATGCCTTTGTTTTTTTGTTAATCTTAATTTAGACATCAACAATCAAGGAGTCGAGAACGTGAAAATAAAGATTTACCACGAAAGCGACGACGACGATCACGTATGTTTTTATTTTTCTAATTATTTTATATTAGAATAGAAGAAAAAAAAAAAGAAAATAAATGTTGAATTCTATTCTATCATTTACTAAGACTTATTATTCATAATTTCTTATATTAGGATCATCACATTCTGATCGTAGTGATAAAAATTTTTCAAGTCGAAAACATTCAAATCGTAGTAATGGTGATCAATCATCATACAATAGTCCTAATAAAACGATGACAAAGATTTTTAGTAGTGGAGTAAGATAAAAATTTTTTTCTTTGATCATTTATATTCATATAATCTATTCTTGTTTAGACATATGAAGAATATATGAATCATTTAGTTGCAACTCATGCACAATATGGTGGATTTGGTGGAGCTATATTTCCACCTGGAGTAAGTCTCATTTATAGAAGTAGCATGAAATTCTTCTTTTTTTTGTTTTGATGTTTTCGTTGCTGAATTTTATATTTTGATTATAAAATCAGCGATCGATATATTTATCTCATCTGAGTATCTTCATATGAAAATGTATAGCTTTCATCTCAGTCTTATTTTCGAAGGAATAGTAAATTATAAATGCAATTGTTCATTGGGAATGATGACTATCGATTTCTAAGTTTTGAAAAAGAAGAAAACTCTTGATTATACTATAGTACGAACAAAGAATCTGTCAAAATTATGAATGACTAGCACACTCATAGGAAATCAGTTTCAATCGTAAATTCATTCACGAGGAAACCACTCAAAGTGATATCCTTTGTTTGAGTTCACAAGGAAGTTTCACTAAAACAAGACGAAAATCTGGAAGGATTTCTCTCAACGGAGAAAAAAAACGTGATTTCAGTACTTCGAAGTAGTGGAATCGAGCTTTTTTCTCTACTTGAATTTTGCTAAGCCAAAAAACTAATCCCTTGCTACAGGCATCATACAAAAATCGAGTTTACTTGAAAATTTAATATTTTGATAGAAAAAAAAACCTCTATTCAATTAAATTCTGCTTTTTGATTTCCCAGTATATACCTAAAACTGAGTCAAACATTCACTAAAACCATCCTAACTCGACTGTAAAAGCTCATAGGGATGAACTATTTTAGACTTTGTCTAGTCTTATCAAGGTGCCCTTGTAGACTCAAACGGTGGATATCAGTTAGGATAGTTCTATCGTCAACTATATATATTTAATCTCTTAGGGTTATCCTATGGCTTACGATCCAAGTGCTTTTTATCCAATGGGATATGATCATCGTGGTATGCCAATATCACTGCATAGTGGAGGTTATGATGTTCCAATGGATGTATATTATCCTCAACCAACACCTTCGATGACATCTCGTTCTCGAAATCTAACTGAAGTAAATGAAAATCTTCTTATAAATAATATATATATATATATATATATCATTGTTTTTTTGTTAATTAGTATGAACAAGAAATAAATGCATTTCTTCGTCATACAACAACGTCAGGTTCTTATCAAAATAATGATAAGAATTTAACATCTCATCGAAGTCATCGTCATCATCGAAATGAAGATGATTATCATCATAAACCTCCATCTCGACATCGTTCAAAATCACGTGAACATCGTCATTAATTCGAAGAAAACAAAAAAGTTTCTTTTTCTTTTTCTCTATTTTGTTTTTTCTTTTTTAAAACAATTGGAAAAATTCTTTTGTTTTTTTTTCTTTCTTTTGTGTGCTCTCTTTTATACATCCACTTCGTTTCCTTTTTTTTTTGCTGTCTTGTAGTATGCAAAAAGGGAACAACAACAACAACAACAACAACAACTGTTTTCATTAGTTTTTTTTCTTTACTAGTATGTATGTATAACAAAGAGAGATGGATAATGATTTTTGTGTGTGTGTCTTTGGTCTATGATCTCTTTCTCGCATGTTGTTTTTATGTATTCATTCACATTGCACATTCAGTTTATTCTGTGATATGTGGAAGAAAAGAAAAAACCTAGTGTGTTGCTTTTATTTCATCACCTATACGAAACGTATATGTATATATATATAAACACGAATATAAAAACACACCGATATGTTTTGTCTAATTTCAGAGAGAGTCAAAAAAGAAAAGACAAACAGGATTGATTTATTATTTCGTTGTTTTAATTTTATTCGGAATAGTTAAACGAATTGGTTGTGATTGATTAATATGAGTTGATTTAATATTTCTAGATACTTTTATCTGATTTATTGATTTTATATTAGAATTTGAATTGTCTTGATGATTTATTAATTCAAGTAGATTTGTATGTGCTTGAGATCGTTTAATAAAAAATAGACTTAATAGAATACCAATAATAAAAATAGTAAGAAGACTAATACCAATAATAGTTATTTGATATTGATGAATATGTTCATTTTTGATTGGTATCATTCGTCGTATTCGTTGATGATTACAATGAATATCATGAAAATTTTTTGAACAATAAATACATTGTTGTGTACGAATATAAACAAGTATTTGTGTTGGACATTGATTTTTATTATTTATATCAAGTTGAATTAATAATGGTTGAGTTGTTTTATTGAAAGAAAATATTGGTAAACAAATTGATCCTTTCCAATTATGTTGACATATATCATTTGTTTGATATAATGTATAAGTTATTAATTTCGAATGAATATTTGTTAAAATAGAAAGAAAAAGAAAAATGAAATTAAAAAGCATTTTCATTAAAATTATAAGAAAAGAATATATTTAGCTTAATTATGATACATAACAACAAGAAAAATTTTTTTTTTGATAGAAAACTTTCTTAAATATGATTTTTTTCAGTTGTTTTGAAAGAAAAAAAAAGAAACAAATATTTATTTTTCTTCATCATGCAAGTCTAATTAAAAGATAGGTCAATAGATTCTAGACAAAATATTTGACTATTTTTCATATATTTAAAATACATTGGTAATATATTAGAATCAGAATTTTATCTTCTTTCAGAATATATACTTAGAATTTTTCTGTGACTATTGAGCTATAAGTAAATCTTGATAGAACTCAAAAGAATTTTCCAGAAACGCAAAAATTTTATTCTTCTAAAGACAACTCTATTTCTTGTAGATATCAAATAAGTTCTGTAAATATATAGTACTTGAAGGTAATCTCTACTCGAGAAAAAATGCAAGAATGGAGAGTTTTGATTAGAGTCTGTCGAGTCCAGACTCAAAAGTTTTAGATCCAATGGACTCTAGTTGTCTGAAAAATGTGTAGAGTGCACTAGTCACCGAATACAAAATACTGGAGACAAATATTTCGTATCTTTGGAACGACTGTTCAATTCTGATAAGAAAATTTTATTTGAAGTACCAAATTACGGTTCGATCATTGCAGATCCGACAAGCTCTAGTTTTGATTAATCCGCTAAAAAATGGCACAGTTGTGACCAACGGTCATTTTACGCTGAAAAGAAGAAAATCCGAAAAATAGACTTTATAAAAGTCTTTACTACACCGTAATAGTTTGCAAAAAGAAAAAACTTTTATTCAAATATATCACTTTGTAGAGAATTATTTTCTGTATTGTCCAAGTTATTCGATAATATTTTGTAACACGTCTGAAACAAGTTTTATTTGCGATTTTTCGTCTTCTAAAACAAAAATTTTCAAGTTTTTTCAAGATTCACTTATAGATTACAAAATTCTAATTCTAATACACAATTAATGGATTTAAATACGTGAAAAATAGTCAAATATTTTGTCTAGAAACTTTTGGTTCACTTTCTTCTTTTTTCTTTCACTTTGAAAAGATCAATATGTCTGCAATCATATATTGAACTCTATATTGATCATTGGAAATCTTATTTGCATTTTCTAAATATCATACAATCAAATCGTAGAAAATATACAATGATAAAACATATCATTCATGAATGTGTATTAATCAATAATCCAAATACACAATTTGGTTTCAATCCTAAAAAAAACAAGGACTAATTCATCTTTAATCAAATAAAAACAATCGCTTAATCAAACTTGTATTTTATTCTCAAAATTCGAATGAAACCTTCCCAAAAAAAAACTAGAAAGACCCAGTAGACTATATATTAAAATTTATCATAAAAATATTCATGTGAATCCATGCAAATAATTCATTTGATATTTTAAACGATTTTCGATAATTTAATTATTTGATACACAATAAATAAATATCATTTACTTAGTGTATGTTAAATATTTATCAATCCTTCACTTCTATGCTTTTTTTTCCCCCATAACATATATTTCAAAAACAGATTTTAGATTGATAGGACAAGGCTACAATATTCTTAAGGACACATTAAAATAATCGATTCGAATTATGAGAAAAGGACGACAGTAGACAACAATTATATTTTTGATTTATATGTACAATAGTATATTTGTCTACTACAAATGATTGATTTATATATTTGCAAGTACATAGTTTGTTATTAAATAATTTCTATTTATAATATAAATAATTATTTTCTAGATTGATTAATAATGAAAATAAAAATTTGAAAATGTATATCAAGATTTTATAACTTGTAAAAACAAAAGATATTACATATTACTTAACAAACATATCGTCAATTGTTTTATAGACAACTAAACATGATTTTTACCTTGCGGTTAAAAATAACAAAATAAAATAAAAAAATTTTCTTATTTCAACAACTATTGCATCATGTTTACAATTAATTGACTAGTCTCTTCTTCTTCTTCTTCTTCTTCTTCTCCCTCTTCTTCCCGCAAATCATCTGTTATTGTTATTTGTGTACGTTGTCATCGTTTGGAGATAGAAAGAGAGAAAGAAAGGAATAGATCACTTTGTATTTAGCCAGGCATTAGATGAGAAGAGAGCGAAAGAAAGAGGGGGAGGGAAAAATAGACTTTATTTGCAATTTCGTCGTTGTCTCCCGTATACGAAAGAGCGTGCGTGAGCGTACGCACATATATGCAAACCCTATCCAACTCGAAGAAAATGAAACCTTTTCCTTTACACTCTTTCTTCTTTAACATGTGACGAGAAAAGACAGTAATACAGATGTGCTCTTTTGTCATCATCACGTTTGACATACCAGGTGGTCGAATTCAAGAATAAAAAGAAAGGTAATAATTCACTTTTCTATAGATTTAAATAATAAAAAAAAAGAAAAGAACAAAAGAAATAAATAATAAGGAAATAAAATAGAAAAGCGCATAAAGTTTAATATTTTAAGTTTTGTTAAATAATGAAATGAATCTAATATATTAACTATCATATATTATTCAAACATATTCAATGTCATATTGCTTAGTCAATGTGAAAAAGAAACGAAGTTAATACATCGTTTTTAATCATATGACTTTGATCAACGTAATTTCTATAATCGATCATTTATTTCTTTCATAAAATAAAATGAATAGGTAATATAATGAATATAATTCAATGTCAAACTTCGAAGCTTTATAAAAAAAAAAAAAAAAAAAACTATAATAAATAATCGAACTGATTCAAATAGAATATGTAAACATAAGAAAAATATTCTCATATGTGTCTTATTCGTATTGTACGCTTATATATAGGCATGTAAACTTCCTGGAAGAAGAAATGCTGCCATCTCGTTGAATACTAACATAGAAAAAAAAAGGAATGTATAGTATATAATTGTCTCTCTCTCCTTGTTACTAAACTGAGTGCAAAAACTGTATAGCCGTGTAGATATAACGTATCGTCTCACCTACATATGATCAGTTTTGCATCTATCAATGTATCTCTCTTATTGTTCTATTTCTTTTTCGTACCCATTCACTCGCTTTTAATCATATCTTGATGTGAAAATGTTTGCATATTGTACATATGCATACGCATATTCAACGCGATTATCACTACTATAACTTCAATGATTAAAGCGTATAAGCGTATTTTAACTTCGTATTTGAGACACTCATTTATATTTCATTAGATTTTTTTTTCGATTTCATTTTATTCCTTACTCATATCCTTTGATTCAACTCAACAAACGACATCATCGAGAAAAACGTTAGCATTCTCGTTCTTTTTTTTCTTTTCTTCTTTTCTTTTTTTCTTCTTCTTCTTCATCTTTCTGTCTTTTCCTCGTTTCATTCATATTAAACTACGTTTATATGTTGAACTTTACTCTTTTTTTTCTCTAAATATTTTATATATTGCACATTTAATGCGTAACGAAGTGCATTCCTCTATGAGTATCGACAATTTTTATACATGACTTAAAAAATTATTTAGTAGAAAAAACAAATAAAATAAAAAAAAATCCAACAATGATTACTATGGTAGTTAATAATGATGATGTTTATGAAAATGAAAGTATTGAATTAACATACTGGCTTTACTATATAATGGTTTATTATGTATTACAAATTATTTGTATTATTACTGTACGTATAAAGCAAAAGAAAAATTTATATACTTTTCAATCATATGAAAAATATAGATATTTCAATTAATATATATTATTATGCGCTTGTAAACATGTTTGCTTTTGACGACAGCCGTAGAGACATGATTATGTTGATTGTATGCATGTCTGTTAAGTGATAATAATGTGTTCTTCTTCAAATTATTCGTTTCGCTAGTATAGACTTAGTTTTTTTTTTCTCTCTTGCTGATAATGATGATGCGCGAACTAATGTAAAGAGGCTAGATATTTATTGTCTGCAGCGTCATTGCTATCGTCATCATCAGTTAGTAAGCATAGAAAAAAGAAACGCGAGAATCCAGTAGACATAAGGAAAAGAGAAAAAAGAAAGACGAATAGAGAGAAAGAAAAAGAAAAAAAATCAAGGTTATTCTCTTACATTAGACGGCAAGACGAATGTTACGCGCACGTTTAGGATCAAGCAACAGGAGACTATGAGATCTTGAAGGACAATATTACTTCAATATCATCATATGTCAAAATAACGGGTGCATTTCTGTGTTTGCTTCATCTTACATCTACAACGCGACAAGCATATATATTTTTAATAATAGTTATTCAACACTATTATTATTATTATTGTTACAAATTTTTATTCAACTACTTTTTATTCACAAGAAAAAAAAACCTACTATGCAGTTTTACTCACATTCCTATTCAACTACTAGTTATCGAGCTAGTGAAATTCCATCTTCTACTCAGGTACGCGTCAAAAAGACATAGATGACAAAATGAACTTTTGACAAGTATATACATATATTTTATATATATACATATATATATATATATATATATATATATACATGTACGTCCTAGAAATAATTAACTATGAAACGTGAATCAGATAAGAAAACAATATATGCATATACATAAATTAAATATTTCAATTGACATTCTTTTTCTTTTTCCTTTTTTTTTCTTCCATAGGCCTTTCTCAATGTCCAACAGTACAAGCAACCAGAACAAGAGGCTGTTTCAACAACAACAACATCATCAACGCTTGTTGGTATGAATGTAATGGGTCAATTGATTGACAAAGCTAAACGTGCTATTGTCATGAGAACAGTTAATAATGAAAAATCTCAACATGAACAAATGCAACAAGAAAAAATTCATTATCAATCATCACAATCAAATGTATCAAAGTCAATATTACCAATTCGTATACAAGAACTTGAAGCTAAAATTGAAAATCGTGCAACAATAATTGATGAAAAAAGTCCAGCTGTTTTAAAATATCGAACACCACATTTTCGGTAATGTGAATAAT